CCCCAAAACCCCAAAACCCCAAAACCCCAAAACCCCTATTAATTTTATATTAAAAATGGAACCAGACACAGTCAAAGAAAGAAGAAGGAAGAACAAAGTTGCCAAGAAGAGGAAGCACAATGAAATCGATGCTAAAGATGAAGAGCAAGGCGTGAGTCTTTTTAATCACCATTCTAGCACAAATCAGCAGGCCCTGAATATATCCTCAAAGATGGTCTGAGATATGTGAAGAAGTACAACCATGTTTTTAGGGGATATACGAAAAAGAGGTGGCTAGGTAAATCGATCTACCAGATTTGAAAAGATGAATTCCAAGCGTATAGTAATCAGTACTACCACGATGCCATTCTGAGCGGTCGAGTTAAGGTCAATAATACCAAAGTTTGGCATATCAGTTAACCCATAGGTCCCTCTTGACTATGAGATGAAAGATGGAGACCAAATCCAGCACTATGCTGAAAGACTAGAAAGCCCAATTATAGACTGTGAAATCAAAATTATCAGTGAAGACGACCAGTTTTTGGTAGTCGATAAGCCTCCCTCAATGCCAGTCCATCCTTGAGGAAACATAAACTACAATTGTCTCAAATCAATCCTCGAGCAAGAGTTTAAGCATGACTATTTACGAGTAGTTCACCGATTAGATAAGCAAACCTCTGGAATTGTCTTCTTTGCCAAAACTGCAGACGCTGCGAACGAATTCAAACAAAATCTTGAAGTAAAAGATGCTATCAAAAAGGTCTATTTCGCACGTATTAAAGGCAAACTAGAGTCGGAGGAGGACAAGCTCGTTGTTGATCAGCCAATATGGTTCAAAAGTACAGATTTTTACAGTACAGAACCCCCAGATACTTCTGAAAAGACCTTAAAGAAGGGGAAAGAGTCTAAAACAATCTTTGAATTTCAGTTTTACGATGAGGAATCCAACACAAGTGTGGTAAAGTGATACCCAATCACTGGGAGGACTCACCAGATTCGAGTTCATCTAGCGCACTTAGGCTACCCAATTGCAAACGATGTGAATTATGGAGGAATGCTGTTCAATGATATTGACTTTCTCGAAACTTCTCAAGCTGATGGAGCAAGATCAGCTGAAGACGCCAAAGAGGAAACCAAAGAAGATATTGAAGAACTTAAAAGGCCTGAGAACGATGATTCGGAAGACATTGAGGTAATTTAGATGCTTTAGTTATATAGTACTCCCCGAAAATGATCGAAAAGAGCTGAATTAAGTTCTGGCTCCATGCGTATCAATATACCTTTAAAGACCAGTGATATAGCACAGAAATACCAGACTGGGCCAAAGAGGATTACATCCCAAACATGAAATTTTAGTGGATATTTTGCTTTAGATAATATCAATATTTGATTTGGATCTTGGGGTTTTGGGGTTTTGGGGTTTTGGGGTTTTGGGGTTTTGGGG